TAAAATTAATATTATAAAAATATAATTTTATAAATATAAAAAAAAATTATTATAATATAGCTTAATTATAAATTTAGCTATAAGTTTAGCTATAAGTTATATAATTAATATTTATTTATATTATAAATAGCTATTTTTTTTTGCTTTTTTAGCTACTTTTTTTTTTAGTTAATTAATACTAAAAAAATGCTACTATTTAAGTTTTAGTTTAATCTTTTTTATTTAGCATAAATATATTACGCTTTAGCATACTACGCTTTTCCTTATATTGTTAGTCAGCCCTTATAAGCAAGGCGTCCTATCACGTATCTTATAAGGTCTTCCCATTTTAATTACGCAGTTTAACAATATAAATTTAATGAAGATAAAGCTTTTATTTCGACAAATATAATTATCGTAATTCTCGACTTCACCGTCGAAATACGTTTCCTCGTATAATGCCCTTCCTTTCTAACGATCTTAGCAACCTAAGTCTTTCCCGTATAACACGGGAAACAACCCAGTTACTTAGATATCAGTACGAATGAATAGGCAGCAATACTACAGAGTAGTTATTATCAGAAACCTTTACAGTCTTCTCCGCCCAACAATATTCACAAGTGACCAACTATTATGGGGTAACATTAGCTAAGGCGCCCAACTTCTCAATAAGTTTTTCCCCCCTTCGCCACACCTGCTATCACTTTTAGTCTTTTATGTCCCTAGGTGATCTTTGGCATTTATAAGTAGTGGTTTGTACCTCTGGGCTGTTTCCGGACTCTTTAGGCAGCCCATCGCATCTTGAAATATACATCTCCAATCCATATCGATCCATCGAACTTTTCTCGTTTTCTCTTGCTTTCAAACAATTCACTTGCTTTCGCGTATAGATTACTTATCAAAACTTGTGATCACAAAGCAATTTAAATTAACTACCTGACTCCGATATGCAAATGCCTAACAGATGTTGAATGTGTGTTGCCGCCCTGATTGTGTCCCCTATCTATAATGCATGCCCATCCCCCTATTCCCACCCGGGTCTATAATGATTTGCCGTATTTCGTAATCCCCTGTACGAAGAAATTATTAGTAAATTTCAATATCTAGACAAACTTGCCCAAGGGCTATTAAACTAACAAAGAGAAATCCTGATGCCGTCGCTAATAGCTGAAAAATCAATGCTAGGACAAGTCGTCCTGGAAATAGTCCCATCGTTGGCTAATACAGGACGATTAGCACCACTGTGTACTTCCTGTAGATGTAGGGGTTCAACCTACGATGATGTTGTCGGTGGTGGTGTTGGTGCCGGAGCTGGGGAAGACTCGCTCTTAACAGTTGAAGAGCCGCCCGTAGAACCGGACGTTGAGCTTCCTTGGCCTTGCCCTTGGCCTTTGATGCCGACTGACACCGCTGCTAGAATTACAACCATGGTTGGAGAGTATGTGATGCTTTTTTGACTGGTTCAAGTCGGAGAAGGACGGATATCAAGATATCAAAGAATATTGATCAAGGTGAGTGAGATGAGATCGATGATGGTCTCTATGAAACAGACATGAAGCTCTTGGATCTACCTCGCTCTTTATATATGGACATCAGTAACCCGTATTTAGACTCTAATAGCTCTATGGCTATGTTGCTCATACTGGTAGGATTGAACTCGTGCTCGCGTCGTCGCGGCTAGGTTGATAGCAACGGTCACAGAGTCCAACGACCTTACTACATCGTGGATTTCCTTAATTGGCACTACGATGTCCTGCTGTATTGACATTGAATTGACGTCACAGCCTATCGCCGATTATCATTCTTGGCCAAGTCATTTCCCGTCATTCCTATTCAATCCCATTGGAGGCAGCACTTGAGGCGAAGACTTCTACACTACGGCACAGTTCCTCCTCCTCACATGCTCACGTGCGATGAGTTGAAGGCCTGGCCAATCGGGTTTATTTCTGGCGTTGAATACGGAGAGGACGGGCCGATGAGGCACGTTTTCTCGACGTTCATCTTTAGGGCTAATTTACTCATTCTGATGTGAAGTGATGCTCCGGCTAGCGTGCCGATGGCTGAGCACGAGGTCACTAAACCAGTTCGGGCAAGGCCAAGCATCCCCGAACGCCAAGATACTATATAAAACCCTTTGCCTGTTCAAGCCAATCAATGTATCATTGTATTTCTTAGTCATTTTTCAGCTCCTCCAAATCACCACCCGGTTGCTACTGGGTGGCGAAGGGCAACCTGCAATTTCAGTATATGTATAGAACCAAATTTTGATTTATTGATGGGGAGCACTTTTTACGGCGTATTCGAACTTCTTCCTCTATCTGCGTGCCTGTATATCACTACGCTGGCCGTAGGGCTGCATCGCAGAATATCTCTATTACTTGGTAAGTACCCCATTCCGTAAATAGCCATGTCGTCAATTCTTATTGGGTAATTAAGCCGCAGGCATGTCTATAGGGAAACCTTATCTTGACGACAATGGTACTATGGCCTGGTATGTTGCGACCGGGAAAAAGACGGCGCTACTGCAATTAGAATAAATATGGTAAGTTATATATGCGACAGAAAATCGACGCCATCAATGCATCAATGGATTAACGGTATTCAAGATACCCCGCGACGGTAGACACAAGCAAACTACCAATGTAGACAAAAAGGTAGCATGCAGGCACCTCTCAAATGAAGCAACGGTGACATTATCGCACCCTCCGCGTGGCAAAAGAGCCAGTTCGCGCACTTACTAGCAAGTGACTAAGGATTTATCCCGCCACAGAGGTAGGCAGTGCTTGGTAGCTAGCTTACAAATGCGCCATATGTCTTCGGAGGCGCAGTAGTGGGATATTGCAGCCTATTGATGCGAAAACTGCATTTTTTTCATCCTACCTGTTCAGGCGATGGCAATCTCTCCATAATTGTTCCTTGTAATTTATCAAGTAGCAAAATAACGAATTACGGTACCGAACTTTAAGTTTACCGCGCGGGTAGCAGAATAAGGTAAAGACATGATTTGCATGTGAAAGGCGTGAGTCTAGTGGGAGTCTATAACATAAACAGCGTAGCTATATGACAAAACAGTAGTAGTCGGAAGTAATTCAGAGTTTCATTTTGTAGGATTTACCTCATATAGATGAAGTTTCAATATCATCGAATATTGTGCAAATAATTTTTACTTCCGAATCTTTGCACAACTTTCTATTTAAGAAGCAATTTGTACGAATCAAAATAAGTTGAAAACGGAACTCTAGAAGTAATTAAATCCCAAAATTAGTAAAACCTGCGACGAATAAATCAAAGAAACGGTATATATGTTCCAATCGAGTTCTGATTGTTGCGTGGGACTTTAGAAGGCCGCGCAGGGACCTTCAGCCTCATTATAAGCACCCCAGTTTCCCAATCGGGATCGAAGCTAGCTAATGTGGCAACTTTAAGCGAAAGACTAGCCTCTAGGAACTTAAACTATAAATAACCTGGTAGACTTCCCGTCGAGGCTATAAGTCCTAAATGACTGGTCAGGAACCGAGTGTTACAGGAACTTAAGAATATATTCCCGGAACCTTAACCATGAACAAGTCTTAATCACATTGATACTAAGTCTTATATCTATATATGGCAACAAGGTACCTAACCCCCGATCTCCGCGGAAACGGATATTACCCGAGGTCGGCGAAGCACAAAAACTTATTCTTCTTCATATTGGACCAACCTCTTAGTTGATGGGCTCTGACGAAAGCTACCACGTTTTTGAGATGTAACTTATGGCAAAATATGCACATATGGAAGCAAGGCGGATTGATTTATAAGGGGGCCCAGGAGACCAAGGAGTACGGCTTCTATAATAACTGACCCTAGGCAGAATAGCTAGTTAGTGACAAAATTTTCGAAGAATTTTAAATTCGGTCAACAGAGTCCACAACAACTGGTGGAAGCAATGGGTGCAGCTCACTCGAACCACTCCTATATATATGCACACATGTCACGATCCCAATGGTAAGCAACGAATAAGGAACTGTAGACGGCCAAGTCCCTGGCCTGATCGCGTTTCTAATCGTGTTATAGCGTTGTAATTAGTTGCACAGTTCTACCCTTTGACAATATACTTGTTAGTGCAGGAAGCTCTAGAGTCAAGATATGTCACAGCAGGGCAGCACTTAGGTAGCACTTGGGGCGCAGTATAGGGGTAGGGCTCAATGTCATTGATTTCCGAGCCCTCACATGAAGTATGAGGGCGGTCTCCTCTCCTTATATAATAGTTGTCCCATAACACAAACACTCCAAGAGGCCAGCACTCCACCTGTGAACTAGTTACCCGACAATGTTTCGGTATCGCACTCTCATAATTTAAATGCATTGGCCGATACATAAGAACGTTCTCTACTTATATGTTACGGGCAATCGATAGAGGAATGCGTATACTGTTTTTATTCCGGACATTCTTTAGCTTCCTATTACATTCTTACTGATATGGCCAGGGTTGTTACTATTGTAGCTTGACGACATGCCTGTTTTAGCATAAACGCCATGCTCTTTGTCAACTGGTGTCAGACGAGGATGTTACGGAGTAAATATCCAGGCTAGATGCAACTAGGTCGAGATGCGTCGTTAGGGGTTCAATAGAATATCAATTGATTCTTGATCACTCTCGGTCTCGGGGGATTAGGGGACCTGTACATACTGTCAGACCACTAATATGACCACACTAGGACTTAATTATATTATCACCTAATAAATAGATACCCTATACGAGCCAAATGGATGGGTAAGAAATTCCAGTCATCCTGAGTCATATATTATTATATCTACTAATAGACCTAAGTTAGCTACGTAGGTCGTATGGTAGAGGTAGCTCTTTGGTATAATAGTCTATAAATGTCTCGGTAGACACGGTTCAAGAAAATCTAGAAAAAGATAATAGAGGGGATAGAAATATAAGAAGAGAGGAAAGGTGAAAGGGTGATGGAGGAGAAAAAAAAGAAGGAAGAAAAAAAAAACAAGGGCTCCGAGTATCTCGGAGGCATTAGGAATTGAGCCCAATGCGGGGGTCGAACCTGCTAGGGTTAGTATTTTGCTAACATGAACAGATGTTTTTTTCTGAAGATGAACTCACCCGCAACCTTGAGATTAAGAGTCTCACGCTCTATCCAATTGAGCTAACCAGGCGAAGGATGGTTTGTTTTTACGCAATACTTGTTCTTGTGTGGTGTCGTTGAAGTTTGTGTACGAGCGTTGTGGGTTCGCTTCGCGCCGGGTGTGGGGAAGTCATCTAGTTCGGATGGTCCGCCCGGGTAATAAATATGGGACTAAGATGACAAACAAAATGGAATATCAGCTTTTACAGACATGTACTCTCAAATAAACGATACAATAATAGTACCTCTATTGGTTTTATTGTGGTTTAGTTAATTAAGTTCAAGGGTCGCAGTAGTATCTGTAGATAGGGTAGATTTAATATGACATCAAGTATGCTGCATATACAGCTTTGCTAGTATCGATAACCGACTCAAATAGGTAGGTGGGGTAGCTGCAGGACCTAGACTACCTTCTACAATGCACTTGCTAAGCACCCCGCAACCCCAGTCCGTCTACATAGAATATGCCAGAATAAGTCACTATCACATCGCATCACATATTTCCCTATAGGCATACTCCAAGGGGCTCATCGATTTGCGAAACCTACTTAGAATCATCTTTGCTAGATCGTCCATTACGAGCCACAATGCCCGTAGACTATAGCAAGTGGGTAAGTGATCATTTACCTAGGGCGGGCCGTGGACAGCTACCATGTACCCTTTCGATGCCTAGAGGAGCAATAGTTAATCACGCTTTCCCTTATGGCAGGATAACCTAGAGCTTAGCGATGACTCCGACATCGAAGTCCATCCCAATGTCGACAAGCGATCCTTCATCCGCGCCAAGCAGAACCAGATCCATGCGGAGCGCCAACATCGCCGACTCCAAATCGAGACTCTCAAGTATGAGCGTCAAATCAATGATGGATTGATAAAGCGCATATCTGGCCTTCTGGCTGCCCTCAAAGCCAACGCCGCCGAGGCCGAATCCAACCTCGCCGAGGTGGCTTTCCGAGCCGTCATGGAGTCCGCTGGTAGCCCCGAAGAAGACGCTCCACCTCCACGGCCCGAGGGTGTCCACGCTCAGGTCGAGCAGCCGCCTACATACAGCAAGATGATGGCCACCATGCTGGACCAGGTAAATACTACGCTTAACGAGAAGAAACCCGAGAACCGATACGTTGCCATGGTCGAGGAGATGGGGAACCACTTGAAGCAGGTGCAAGATCTTCAGAAGCAACTCCTGGAAAAACTCGCAGAACTAGAGAAGGAGGAAGGCCGTAAAATTACAAGTGAGGGCATCCATACAGGGTTCGATAGCTCCTATGTTGCAAAATCTACACCGTCCACGTCAGGAGAGAAGAGCGACAGCAAAATCGAACTCTTGAATCCCAACTTCTCAGCGAACAAGCCAGAAGAAGGGGAAGCGACGGCGGCAGCCAAGGTGGACGATGATGACGAGATCGAAGCTTCTGCCGACGGTCGCAAATTCGCGAATATCAAGGCCAGCGAGTACCGAGAAAGCCACGCTTTCATCACTGCGCATCCAAAGATCCTATCTGAGAAAGAGACTGACGGTATCCTTGTCATGGCGTTCGATGCACAGCTGGAGAACAAAGATGACGTTGCACGAAACTACATACACCAAGCTCTCTTACTTCAATACTGCCGCTCACTGGGCAGGGATGGCGTCGCGCTCTTCTTCAAGCGCATCAACACGAAGGGCCATCAAGCTCAAGAGGTCTTCTTCAAAGATGTACACGACACTTATCTCCGTATCAAGGGCCGGGCGGCGGAGATCAATGCACAGCGCGCTGCTGGAGGCGATTCCGGTGATGTAGAGCAGATCCAACTACATGCCGTTGAACCGGGCACCGAGATCAAGATCCAAATCCCCCCCGAAAACGGTGAAGACGAAGCCCAGAAGCACGGACGAGAAATATTCGAGAGCTTTGCACCGGATATGCGGAAGGCGCTGGAGACCGGTAGTCTGGACGAAGTCAACGAGGTCCTTGGTAAGATGAAGGTACCTGAGGCTGAAGAGCTAGTTGGTCTCCTGAGCGAGGTAAGAAGACATATGCGATGACGTCACTATTCGGCATAACCATTTACTAACGGCCTTCTCCTTCTAGGCTGGTATACTCAGTTTGGAAGAGCAGATAATAGACGCCACGACGGACGAAGGCAGGCAAAAGATCAAGGATCTAGAAGAAAAGGCCGCAATGGAGGCGTACACAGACGATCCCGAGTAAAAAAATCGACACCCTCTGCATAGCTAGTATACAGAGGTTTGTTCTTGTACTAATGGCTTGGTCACAATAAGGCTGGTGAGGAGATAACAGCATAGTAATGGATACCCGCGCGAAACATGATTTCGTTTCTAATTTGTCCAAGTATCATGATGGCCCGGTTGCTTGTTCTAGCTGAGTATTGTGGCGAAATGGGATACTGGCAGTTTACTAGAATAAAGCATAATGGTCTTGAGACAGCGCATCGGCTGAATGCCCGGTTTGTGTGACGACTTTCTCTTCAAGTCGCGCCCAGAGCTCCCGCCTCATTGATTCATGCTAGGTAAACACTGTCCCCGGTCACAGCATCTTAGTATGCCTACGCTGGCATTTCCTAATCTAGTGCTAGGTAAGTAGAGCACATATGTATGTAGATGCGCCTGTAGGTGGATTGTCGCTTGTATTTAGTGACTCCGAGATCTCTTAATCACCAAAAATAGGTATTCTGCGTTCTCAGGAGGGACCAATAGATTGTCTTTATCGAACGTCTGGGGCGATCACAGCTAAGCAGTAAAGGGGCTGTGTGTGTGGCTCGCGCTCGTACCGGCCCGTAGTGCTGTCTGGAAAGACCCATATACGTAAGTACTTACATAGCATCGCAGCCGCACACTGCACTGTTTTTTTTGTGGGGGATTTCGTATTCTCTCCCAAACAAGGCATGATTTATTTCATGGAACACCAAAACTTGATAATCACCAGCTTAAATGGGTCACAGTATACTACTACTGTACATACCTACGGTATTTTAAGGGGCTCACATCCTTCTAGAATTATCATGTTGCCTCTAATTATGTCATATCGACTAAGAAGAACGTAGAGTTCGCGATCAGCTGCAGTCGTTTTGGGGACAAAAACCTTCTTTATCATTGCCTGCCTATGCCTATAACTAGTATTGGACTGGTACGCGTAGATTTGCCTTGAAACCCCCGAGCCAACGGAACGCGCGTTTGCGTGGTTTCACCTTTGCCAAGACGAAGGCTGACGTGGAGAGGCGCAGCCATAAGCTCCAGACCAGCTCCACAGCATACGCAGCCGCCGGGGCCAGGTACAGCGCTTCACAGCACTGCAAGCCACCGCTAGCCCGCTAGCTCAGACCCGTCTAATCGCCCCCTAACACGCTGTCGGTGCTGATCTAGCCTATCGAGAGCCTGGCCCTGCAGCACGGCTAGCCATCTTGACCCTGTAGATCACCATTCGCCAGGGATCCGGCATTTCTCACATCGACACGGCCGCGGAAGTTTGGGGTGAACATTACGTATCTGAACAGCTCAGACATGTCAATTTAAATTGTAGTTTAAAAGCTAGTATGGCGTTCTCTAAAACTTATACATATACATAGATATAGTCCTGTTCTCTCTCTTTTTTAATCTCTCGTTTCGGCATTTTGTCTCCTCGCTCTCGTTTCTCATCAGCATCAAGAAGTATACACTCATAAAATTAGCATAACCTTCAGATTCGGAATTATCTCAGCGAGATGGTCCCGTCAGTATACACGTACCTAGCAACTCTCGCGACTCTTGCGGGAACTACCTATTCGACGCCGCAATGGGGTAATGCTGGTTTTGGCCCGATGGGCTCGTCATCCTCAACGACCTCAACAACCGCCCTAGCAGACTCGACGACCTCATCGGCCTTGGCGGTCTCGACAGTTTCGACAGTGACGACGGCATCGTCTGTTGCCACAGCGGTAGCCGCGTCCAGCTCAACATCAACAACAGCTTGTAATAATTCCCCATCTCTGTGCGACCGCACATATAGCAACATCACCCACATGGGCGCCCACGATTCATCTTTCCTCCGCGACGCCAGCACCGGGAATTCGGTAGCCGGCACCCAGTACTACAACGCAACCGTCGCCTTGGACGCCGGCATACGGCTGCTGCAGCTGCAAGTCCACGATCTCAATGGTACCATCGAGATGTGCCACACATTATGCAGCCTGCTCGATGCTGGACCCCTAGAGGATTGGCTCTCAGACATCAAGTACTGGATGGACAACAACCCGAACGAGGTGGTGACGCTCCTAATCGTCAACTCGGACAGCAAAACCGCCGATGAATTCGGTTCCGTGTTCGAATCGTCAGGAATCTCCGAGTACGGGTACACGCCGTCGAGCAGCGGGTGGCCGACCCTGCAGACCATGATCGACGCCAAGACGCGCCTCGTGACCTTCATCGCGTCCATCACCGCCAGCAGCACGTACCCGTACCTGCTCTCCGAGTTCGACTACGTCTTCGAGACCGCGTACGAGATCACGTCCCTCTCGGGCTTCAACTGCACGCTCGACCGGCCGACCTCGCAGTCCTCGGCCGCGTCCGCGCTCTCGGCGGGCCTCCTCCCGCTCATGAACCACTTCGCGTACAAGGATCTGGGCTCCTCCATCGAGATCCCGGACGTCGACGACATCGCGACGACCAACAGCCCGTCCACCTCCACGACCGGGGCCCTGGGGCTGCACGCGGAGAACTGCCTGTCCGAGTGGGGCGTCAAGCCGACCTTTGTGCTGGTGGACTTCTTCAGCGAGGGCCCTGCTATCAAGACGGCGGACGTGATGAACGGCATCACTGCCACCGGACGCACGAACGACACTGCGACCACTACCGACAACGCATCCAGCGAGGCGAAACGCGTTGCTGGCATGGGCACGGGGGCGCTTGTTGCGTTTTTGGTGGCGACGTTGCTGCTTGCGTAGGCCAGCCTGCACTGGCTGATTTCATGGTTGTTTTGAGGGGCGCGCCATATCCTGTTTTCGGATTCTCGGGGAATAAATGGAAACTTACAGAGAAAAAGCATTTTGATCGGC